TCGATGCAGGATAAAGGTTATGTTTGAAGAAAGTCGTCGCATCGAGACTGGACCTTAAAGTGGTGCGACGGTTCGCGTACCTCATTGACCCATTGAGCTATACTGATTGATGCCTCCGGGCAACATGAGAGCTACTCCTACGAGGTTGGTCAATGATGAGAGGTCAGACAAACTCAATCTAGTGATCCTCCAGGTTAGGGGTTTGAAATGGGATGGCGACCATTTCCGTACAACTAAATCATTGCCACCTCCCCGCTGCCTTGCTGACAGGCTTTTGAGCCAAAGGCTTTGGATGAGGACCCGAATCGTCCTACTGGGCGCCCTGGCAGTATCTTAGCCCACACACATCCATGACAGTTACTTGTAGAATACGGTAGGTCATAATGAGGTCGACTGTCCATCGATGGTAGTATAAGGTGCAGATTAATAGTCTCTCGCACCGGTCTTCATACCCCAAGCCACGTAAACTGCGAATGAGCTTGGAATCAGCACGTTGAACAAGCCCGATCTTTGTGCCTTACCTCGAGTAATCTGAAAGTATGCAGGCGGACTGTACTCTAACATTGGTCTAATGATGGGAGAGAACAGGCGAGCAGCAAACTCTCCATACCATGTTCCGAGGCTACGTTTGAGCGCCCAAAGTATACGCAGTCCGTTACCATTTAGGCTGTTCGTGTTGTCCATGGACTTCAAATCGTAGCGTGATAGTACATCTAGGTCCTTCACGGAGGCTGTGGGATATAGCGGTTGCTCGTCAAGAATGTAGATTAGGCCGATAGCACCATGCCCATGCTTATAAATACAGACTTGGCTGGGTTGGCTGGGAGATGAAATGCTACAGACCATGGGGTACGCGGTCGAGTTCTTGCTGAAGTAGGTCACAGTCGTCGGTAGCGTCAAATTCTCTCCAAATCTTCATGTCATCCACAAACGAGGCACATGACGACCTGAAAAGCTGTGGTAGCTACGTGATTTGATCAGGAAGAGTGCCAGCCCCAGCACAAGGCCTTGAGGTAAGCCACTTGTAGTGGGGATATTAGGCAGTTAGGTGGTCGTCAAACTGTATCCTGCACCTTCGTCCAACAAGAAAGTCATGGATCCACCGGCGCGGTGATCAACCGACACGACCCATCCTGAGTCCGTGAAGGAGAACTTCATGGCTGACATCGTCGAAAGCTTTACGGAAATCGATGAATATCACGTCGACAGACTTCCCCTTACTTATTGCCTTCAACCACGCATGGCTCGTCACAAGCAAGTTTGTAAGGCATAAGCGGCCTCCCAAAAAATCATGCTGTTTGAACGTCAGGACCTCTTTTGACTGCAGCAATTGCAATAATCCAATTTTACTATTATATCAGCAACCTTTTCCAAAATAGGTGTCAGACAAATTGGCCTGTAGTTGTCTACTTCGCTAGGGTCGCCGCCTTTCGGAAAATGCCTCACCACCGAACATTTTTAGTCAAACTGTAACGAACGTTCGGACAGCGACCTGTTGAATAGGTCAGTCAAGATAGAGAAGATTATGGTCAAAAGTTACTGGTGAATAAGTAGGTGAAGCCTATCAGGTCCGGCAGGTTTGGTGCCATCAAGACTGGCGAGTAGTTGACATTCCTCCTCAACGCTGCAATCCATAATGTGGAATTTGATAAATGCGGTACACCTCAAAATCGGAACGGACACCTGGTCGTTTGCAAACACAGAAGCGAAGCGCGCCGAGCTATGTGCTTGTTAGCGACCGTCCATCCAGGCTATCCAACACTGACACATCACCTGCTGGCTTCAGGCGTCGCTTCACTTAAGCAAAGATTCTATTTGAAGCGGTCTTTGCGGCGATTGCGAGCTGCCCTTCGAAATGTCGGCGCTGATTTCTTTTGGCACGGTTGCAGAGGTTTCGCTGACTTTGATACCCTTCATAGTCTTTGACAGAACCAGAGCGGAGGAATCTGTCTTACATTCTGCGCTGACTCCGAGCCAGATTTCCATACGATTTCAAACCAGTGAGACTTAATCGGTCCAACCTTCCGACTTTTCAATGGCATAAAATGGGAACACAATTATGTCAATCTCTCTTTTCTAGATATCTAACAGTCTTCCACAGATACAGCTTGCGACAGAGACCGATCCATTTGGCTTGCAGCGCGAGTTAGACCGTCGAACTCCGTTTTCCAGCAGTTGTAAATTGGTTCCATGGGACTTGAATACGTCAAAGGTAATTGTACATCAGTAATAAGCAATGAGTTGTTGCTTGTAGCCAGGGGCTTTAGGATCCGAACGTCACGCCCTCATTGTCATAGCTCGTTAACATGAGTTCGAAACATGACAGGGTTGAGCGTGGTGTTATTCGTGTTGGCTGGCATATGTGTTGCGATGCACCATTTTCAAGTATCAAAATCACGAACTTTCCTTCAACCTCATTATGTCCAAGTATCAAATACACATCAGGCTATCCTATTCGAGGACAGTTAAAAGCACCCATAAGTAGAAAGTGTGGACGATTCATGTGGGTTCGAATATGGAGCAGCTAATCCAGTCAGCGACTCAAGGGGATGAGATAAAATGCGCCCACAAGCAGTTCTCCGCACCTGAGATGGATGTAGCACCACAGCAACTCACACAAACCATCGTCACTTCGGTAGGTGCTCACAAGTCTCCCACTCAGGGAAACCAGATCTAAAGCGACAGCACCGCAGACATTACTTTGTCTATAGCTTTGAATTCACGTTTAACCTTTGAGTTCAAGTTCCTAGGTGTATAACTCGGAATACAGGGATGTCTCTGCTAGTCCCACTACTTCTGGCCGCTCAGACGCAACTAAACCACAGAGCTCATCGCGCTTGTTCATAGCACTGGAAACGTTTGTGAAGGCTAGTCACAGGCCGCAGCAGAAACCCCCGAGCGTGCTTGAAGTGTAGGTAACCAGTTTATGCTTATTCGCGGATGCTTGGAAACCACCTGAAAATTTACGATACGAGGATTTGGTTCTCCATCACCAGTACGTCTTTTCAGCTCAATGATGATAAACTTGAGTCGATCCTTGTCTACAGGGTCTAGGTCTGGACGAACATTGATCTTCAAAACTTTCAGCCTACTTAGGCGGGACATGATCAGTCTTGGACTGGCTTTGTCCCTAAAGTGATAATCATAGGCCGATTTTGTTGATCCCCTTGCTTTCCTACCCGGGTAATTTAGTGCATTTGTACCTAGTCTTCACCATCGTCCAGGATACTGTATTTTAGACTCTGTAAATCTCGACATCGTGAACGTAGCGCAATTTGAGTAATGCAACACTGGACTCCGGCGCTTTGAAGATGACTAGTTTATATCGCTTCTGGTCGGACGAGGTTGATCTTGCAGGGCGAAGTATATTACCAGCCTCGAGTGGTTTGGCTAACTGTTGACTTACAGAAGTTTAAAGCCTAACATCCCTCCGTCATTTCGTTCTTCTTTCTTTCCACTGGTCTGCATCAATCAAACCTTCACCTGTTGGGACATCATTGCTCGTTGGACACAACAAAGGTAAACAATTTAGTCCATAGGAAAAAATAGGCTTCTCACAACGGTTGGACTACGTGCAAAATAGTTTGCACGGGTAGAGGAGGAAGACTGAGCTGAAACCTGAAGGCTCTTCAGGTTAGATTGTTGAGCCAAACACACGGAGGAGTCTGCAACGGAATGATGAAGCCTACACACCGGATTTACTCTTCTTAGCTGTATTTTGTTTCGACAATGTTCACATAAATTTTGAACGATATCGTGTTGGATCTCATGAAGACGATGAAAATGCTCAACTGATAATCCAATACATGAAATGTGGTATTTAACGTGGCGCAAAACATACGTGCGGGTGTTTGCACGGTACCTGTCTAACTTGGAACAAGTACCACAGCGTGACTGCTTCGGCATTGTGAATAATCCGAAAACAAGATCGCAGCTAATTGCTGGAGAAAATGGAGATAGCAAGATCACCGAAACCAAACAATGAAAACACAAGTATTTCTGCTCAGAAATTTCTGAATCAGAAATGAAACAGCGTTGTATCTAAATTTCTACGAAATACTTCCAATGAACAAAGAAATACAACACAAAGTGGTCTTGAAAAATATAGAAACAGTACTGAATCAAAAAAATTTCACGCAACTCAAAGGCTTGCAACGGGGACTTAACGTAATATTTGTGAAGTTTATAACATTTTAGAAGCGTTTGTCTATTCGGAGCTGAGTGCAAGTGTTGTGTCCTCGTTCGTTGTCGTCCTCGTTCAAAAGCAATGGAAAATGTGGAAGCTTTTACTGAATGGAAACACGATGCCTACCAAAATTAGACCATACGGATTACAGCAAGCAGCCCCGGCAGTCTTACTTTTCAGTGCAAAGCATGATGCAGCATAAAATATTAGCCATTAAACAAGTTTCAAAACACCAAGGAAAGTAATGAATACGTCCGTACAATTTTCTATGATCCCTAGTTGTGATTTCCGATGCCAACGTTTTTAAATGTCAAAACAAATATATATTCAGCACATAAGTAAAAAGATGTTTAGGAATACTAGTATTGTGGAATTCTTTCTGAATTATGCGTATTCGTAGTTAGTGCTATCAACCAATACCTAACATTCGTCATACCCCTCCGCTTTTATGTTCTGTCAGGGTTTCAAAATTCCACAATTATAGGTATACTTGTATTCATTTGTTTATGAAAATGCCTATTTCAGCATATGTTCAATACTACGAAACAGTTTCAAGTCACAAATGAGCACGTTGGTGTCATCGTGCGCAATCATCTGCTAAAGTAGTAAAAGATTTGGGAAAATTTCTTCAATGATTTCAGTTCCAAGTCACAAATGAGCACACCGGTGTCATCGTGCACAATCATCTGCTAAAGTAGTAAAAGATTTGGGAACATTTCTTCAATAAGTTCCTACGTATTACATTTGTTAACATACGCAGCATTTCTCGTTACCTTCAACTTCTAATGCATCCATGGTCTTGACATGTTTTTAGAAATGAGCCCTCCTCCGGGTTCTATTCTGGTTACTTTGCCCAATGAAATGCGCGAGCTTCATTGCGAATTTAGCACCAGACAACCACAAACTGTTCGCTGGTTTTTCAACGGTGAACCGCTGGAATTCCATCGTACTCTGAATGCATCTGGTCAGGTGCATAGGATGGACCGATTACTGGTCAGCATCATTACATTGCGTTCCGTGGAGCCTGGTCACGCGGGCACCTACGAATGCCGTGTGGGTAACCAGGTAAAACAGACGCATGTCATCGTTCGAAGTGAGTTCCACAGCTTTATTTCCACAGAATAACATGTTGGCCAGTAAAGAACCCTACCTTAAGATTTTAAATGCTGTACATATAGAGTAGAGAAAACAGTTTGACGGTGTGGGGATTTGATACAGTCTCAGCAGCTAAGTAAAACTGCACAGCACAATTCTCTCAGCATCACTATGCTGCAAAATGTGTGTGTAATTTACAGGATCTGTACATAACATTAGCGCATGTATTTGTATATACTTATTTTGTGTTTTGCACGCATAAATGACAAACGGTAGCTGTTTTTGTATACATTGAAGATATACTGACACTTAAATTATAAAATAAGGTGTCGGCAAATTAAGCTTTTCACATTTATTTCCGAAATAGCTCATTTGGTAGAACAGCGGACCGGTAATCAGTGCGTCCGAGGTTTGATTCCCCGTCGAGGCAGGTTATTATGCAGTTTAATTGTGGCTTCTACTTTCTATAACAACTTACGATACTCACAAATACCATAAGTAATCTTCATTTATGTTTACTTACAATTCAAATAGAACAATACATGTATCAATGATAAATAAAAACGTGCCTAGGGAATTTTACAAGTTGAGTTACTTCTATAAATGCTGCCGCCTCCGCATAATGCACTCCTGTCAACATCGTTTGATTACGTTGGCCTAAGTCTCGGAAATGTTTAATATCAAATGACGTAGTGATTTCAATATAATAAATGTTGGGGCAGGTTGCCATAAGGAGGAGGAACGCTGGATGTTTGAGATACACAAAAGCGAAGAACGCTGCAGCGACATTCTTTCAACTTTTCTAAATCGCTTATATCCAAAGGGTGCATTCAGATTTGTATCGTTGCAGTGTTTTAATTAGTAGCAGCATAACGGGCTTGGGTTCATTAGTGTTCCAACATATAAATTTGGTTAACAAGGCATACTATGTTCTCCACAAAACTCCAGTGGTCGTTAGCATAATCTGGAAGTTAGGGTGTAACAAGCCCTTCATGTTTTAATCGTCATTCACTCTGGATTCTCCTAAGCAACGAAGTGATGTATTTGCCAAGAGTACAACACCTGGATGATATCTTACTTCTGGCCACGAGTAAACATTACACATTTGGAAGATACGTTATGGTCAAACCGCGAAGGACATTCACCATTTGCCTTGAACCTCTGAAATCGTCCTGTATGAACATACAAAATAAATTTCATATATAATTCGCTGCAAATAATGTCCCCGTACTCGATGCTAGTAGGTGATAAAATGCGTATACATAAGAACTAATTTTTGATAGTGTATTAACCTGAACGTGTTCTGAGCTCACCATTTATAAACCCCTACCATTCACTGTGGCTGTCGAGCATATTGATTGCTTGCGAAATCCAGCGATGGCCCACAATGAGTGGCATATTCGGCGTCAGCACGCCCATGATGTCGTTTGTGAAAAGCAAAGTAACCGTAAGGAAATTATGTTGATTAAGGGCGCCATCGAGCAAAACCATCAGCTCTGGAGTAATAACGAGTTTAATCATCATGGTCCATACATGGGACGATAATTCCAAGCGTCCACATAGTTTGAACATGCATCCTGTTAAGACAACTTCGGAAAGAACGAAATAGAGGCTCCATCAATCTCGTGGCAGATACTTTGAATGCTTTCAGGCGTATATTATACAGACTGTGTGAAATTTACTTGCACGGTGAAAACAGACGCTACAGGACACTCACGGCAAAGAGGTGTGAAAGACTGATGTCCATTACCATATGGTGGTTGCCCACCTGCGGTGATTATAGCAGAGATACCACACTGTGTCTTGCTGAGTTTATTGACCTACCAAGAAAGCACATTAGGATTAGGACAGATAATCTACGCCTAGTCCTGCTAGTGTTTTAGTTTATCTTCGCTGAAGAGTTCTACACAATAGTTACCATTGGTTATCTGGACAATCCAAATTTGGGCATTATGACTGCATTTGTGTGCTTTCAAAAAGAAGTCCCTCATGGTCATTAGTTTCTGAGTCCTTGTTCTCATGACGCTTATTGCTTTGTGAGCCAGCAATCTCATTCTTCGAATCACTTGTCACTGGAGTACTGAACTTATTGGCAAGCCCAACAACGAGCATAATTCAGGTGCAGTTTTTAAAAAACGACTAATTATTTTGACGAGATCTGATAAAATTTTGTGGTGTGTTACTTTGTTGACCGCTACAAATTCCTTGTTGATCTGTTCTTCGTAACAGATGTAGTGGAAAAGCAGTTTTGCAAGATTACTGCGCCCTGCGTGCACTCAGTTTTCCTGTGCCGATCGTAGGTTCTAAAACGACTGCTTTGTCGCCCGTTTCGGAATTTGGTAGTGGAAGTGACGTTATGTTGAAGCGTTGGGTAGTAGACTGGTTCATGCAAATCGTCTTTAAATGCTTACCCAAGTGACGCCGGAGAGTTTAGCTAGTGCAAGATGTATTCTTCCACTATGAAGTCGTGGGAGTTAGTTTGGGAAAAAGCCATGCTCTGTTGACGGTTGTGCATTCTTGGAATGAACATTGGAGGGCGATATACGAGAAGCAGCAAGCATTGGCCACTATATCATAGTCGTAGATTGCACCAAACAGTCCACAACTTAAATTTCTGGGTTGTCAGACTTTGAGAAGAGGGTCATTGCAGTGAGCAAAATCAGACATAACTAATAAAGTATTGTGAACATAACTGGTAGTGTGATCACTGTAACAGTTCTTCCAGGTCTAAATTATCATAATCAAGTCCACAGATATCAACGTGAGGCAAGATTATGGCTCGTATAATGTACTGAATAGGCCAGGAGCATTAGCATTCATGAAGGAAAATGCCCTAAGGGTCAGAAACTCATTTAACTGTACGAGTATTGGGTACGAGCTATTACCGATCCTTGCGAGGTTAGTAGCTAACCGCATTTATGTATGGAACTGTTGATAATGTGTTCTGAGCCGCATTGTATTTGCTGGTAGAATGATCAAACCATGTTTTGGTTTCTGCAAGTATTGCGACTTTCGCGGCCTCAGCAACAGATGCATGTGCCTCGCAGTTGTCAGTGTCGTAATTGAAAGTCACTGGAGTTACGTCTAGACCTTGGTGACTGATTTCTCTCTGGGATATATGTGGTTTGGCATTGACGGGCTTAATGCCTTGCGCGAAGGACAGCCTCTACCACGAGTTGCGTAAAGTTTCATTTAAAATGTTTATAACTGTGGGACCACATAAATATACTTAGAGAATGAAAATATAATGTGAGGTTGTCATAATACTCCTCACTCTTTTTCATCGGCATTGATTTTTCTTGAATCATATGCCCACTAAACGGTCATTGGACGAATGCGTGTTTACTATTGTTTGTCATGTCTGAATGATTTAAGATTCATAACCGTTGTTACGTGTTACTATTGTTCATAGATCTCAATTAAGTGACTAGATTATCGAGTAAGTGCGCCTGACAGATCTAGTGCCATTATTCCCAACCAGGGGCATAAGCATCAGGTTCACCAGAGGCTTAAATTTGCGACATGTCATGAATATATATCGAAGTTTCATTTTTCATATGGTGTTGGTCATCATGGTTATGTTTTCTTTGTGGACGCCGGCATCAACGGACGTCGGGGAAAATCTGAATAACAAATGAATCACTGCAAAGGAGCTTAACTGACAAAGGCATCAACTTATTATCTTTTGCAGATTGCTGCGTCATTAGCATCATATGTTTTTCCTTTAGCAGTTCGAGTTGGAGTGCCTTACAATGCCCCTCATGCTAGCCTGCTTAGGTTGGACGCCTAATAATAGATATATGGTATCTTACTTTTTTGTCTCGTAGCAGCTTACCTTTCAAAATCTGCGTTAGCTTCGGGAACACTGGAATATAGGAGCGTTATCGACTTCTGGGCTCAACTATAATTAAACTGTTTGTGAGCGAAATGGATCTGAATTCTGTTGGAGTTCTGTGAGCACTTGTTGCGCTTCTGGCGCCTGTGCGATTACGTCAGACTTAGATATGGACGTTGCTACTGGTTGCTGAACAGCTGTAACGGACTGGCGTGTTACTACACTTTTGGCAACAGCGCGCAGGTAAACGTATGCTCATATATCCTAATTAAAAGAAGTAATTTCAAAAAGAATCTCGTTGCCAGAATGGTAGCATCTTTATCCACTGGTACATAGTTATATGTCATATCTCGGATTTGAGTTTTCCTTGCACCTAGCTGTCCACTTTTACCCATGCCCCTGGTTCGACCACTATTTTTATTAATAGAGTTTTGGGTTCCGATCCCGGCGGAAGTTGAATCTGTAAGATGGAATTTTTTCAACGCTTTTTCCTCGATCATCGCCGCTTTGTCATTATAGTTCTTTGCCAGAATAGCGGTGCATCTAACAAATAGAACGACATGCATACAAAGCATAAATACAAACAACGCACTTTATTCTTTATCACTTGCATTCTCTCAGTATTTAAATGAGCGCGATGGATGTGCTAACATTCATGGTATTACGAATACGAAATAACAGTTCTAACTAATTTTTCTTAGTTGTAAATGCTATTCGGCTGTCTTGCTATGTATCCTTTGGCTCTGGACTTGGTTTTGCGTCAATTGCTTAATTCTGTCTAAGCGCAGATATCGAGTTATGGAGTACTTTGCACACACGCACAAGTGGTAAAACAAATATTTCACTAAACTGCAGCACTTTGTGGCACACATTACTCACGCAAAGCGGTAATTAGACGTGCATGTACTTACAATCGAAGAGTTTCTATTATACGTGGAATAATAAGAGCAAGATATTGACAGTACTTACTGAATTCGCAACTTTTTCAGACATGTCTGTCTTCCTCACGCAGTTGTAGTTCATTGGCGTTTAGAAGACACTTATTTGTAGACTTATCAAGATGCAGGATATGCATAAATAATGGAATATGTATGTCTATTATAAAGCGGTTACGGAAAAGACATTTCTAAATATAAGAATACAGATTGATTATAAACAGGTAA